GGACCTCGACGGCCTCGACGGGGGCGTCGAGGTCGTAGTCGGAGAAGTCGTGGTCGGTGTGCACCGAGAGCGTGATGAGTCCGGAGACCGGATCGGCGAGCTCGTTGTGGAACGCCTGCTTCTCGCGGGCGATCGCGGTGGTCTCGCCGACGAACGGGATGAACGACGGGAAGATCAGCACGTCGTCGGGGTTCCGGCCCGCGTTCGACGCCCGGCTCTTGACGTCGTCGTAGTAGGCGCGCCGCCCCTCCGGCGTGGGGTCGATCTCGAAGATCGCGTCGGCCCACCGTGCGGCGAAGTCCTTGCCCTTGGGCGATGAGCCCGCCTGGAACAGCGTCGGCCTGCCCTGCGGCGAGCGCGGCGTCGGCAGCGGGCCGCGGGTGCGGTAGAAGCGCCCGTCGTGGTCGACCCGGTGCACCTTGTCCGGGTCGGCGAACAGCCCGCCGGTCTTGTCCCCGACCAGCGCGCCCGGCTCCCAGCTCTCCCACAGCGCGACAGCCGCCTCGACGAACTCCTGGGCCCGGTCGTAGCGCAGGTCGTGCTCGAGGCCCTGGTCGAAGCCGAAGTTGCGGGCCTCGGCGCGCGACAGCGAGGTCACGATGTTCCAGCCGGCGCGCCCGCCCGAGAGGTGGTCGAGCGTGGCGAGGACGCGGGCCACCTCGAAGGGGTGGAAGTAGGTCGTGCTCTTCGTGATCGCGACGCCGAGCTGCCGGGTCACGGCCGCGATGCTCGCGACGACCAGCGACGGGTCGATGGTGGCGCTGGCCTGCGTGCCGCGGCGCAGCGCCTCGGACTCGTCGTCGCCGAAGTTGGTCGGCACGGCCAGCAGATCGGCGAAGAACACGAAGTCGAACAGGCCCCGCTCGAGCGTGCGCCCGACCCGGTGCCAGTAGTCCGGGCTCAGGAAGTCGAGGTCGCTGCCGGGGTGGCGCCAGGCGGCGTGGGAGTGGGCGACGTGCGAGGCGATCTCGAAACCGCCGAGGTGCAGCTGTCGGGGCATGGGTGTGCTCCTGCTCTACGAGAGGCGCGCCCCGCGGCAGGGGCGCGGACGGGTGCGTCGGGCGCGTCAGGCGGCGGCGGGACCCGGACAGACCGCGCTGGCGGTCCGCTGCAGGTCGATGTGGCGCCGCCGCACCCCGGTGAACACGCTGGGAACCCACTCTCGTCGGCAGTCGGGCCGACCCTAGGCCGTCGCCCCCCCGGCTCGCGAGTGAGTCCTCGGGACGCGTGCGGGAGGGTCGACTCCCTCGCCGGCGAGTGGGTCCTGAGGACTCGCTCGCGGCGCAGAGGTTCCGTGCCCCGGCACGCGTCCCGAGGACCTCGCTCGGGCCGCAGCGCCGGTGTGGCTCAGACCTCGACGATCACCGTGAACGGGCCGTCGTTCGCCGACTCGACGACCATCTCGGCCCCGAAGACGCCCTCGGCGACCGGTGCCCCGCGCTCGCGCAGGGCCGCGACGACCGCGTCGACGACGCCCTTCGCCCGCTCGCCGGGCGCCGCGGCACCCCACGACGGCCGCCTGCCCTTGCGCGTGTCGCCGTAGAGGGTGAACTGGCTGACGACCAGGAGGCCCGCGCCGGTGTCGGCGCACGAGCGTTCCCGGGCCCACTCCCCGTCGCTGCGCTCGCCCGGGCGCAGCAGCCGCAGCTCGTGGAGCTTGCGGGCCATCGTCGCCGCCGCGTCGCCGTCCCCCTCGGGGTCGTCGTGGTGCACGCCGAGCAGGACGAGCAGGCCCGGGGCGGTGAGCTCGCCGACGGTCTCGCCCGCGACGGTCACCCGGGCGTGCGCCACGCGGCTGACGACGGCCCTCACGCCGCCACGAGCATCCCGTGCAGGAACAGCTCGTGGACCACGGGCAGTGCGGCGGCGGCGAGCTCGCCCTCGTCGCGGTCGTGGGCGACGGCGAGCAGCCCGAGCAGGTCGGCGAGCGGCAGGTGCCCGCGGCACCCGCCGATCAGCGCCTCGCCGAGCTCGTCGAGGTCGTGGCGCCACTGCGGGCCGTCGAGGCGCACCAGCG